TTCTTTTGTATCCTGAAAGTAATTATTATATATTTTGTTCCTTCGGACCTAATTTTTAACCTTACTCACATATTGTAGCCCTTGATGCGTTAATATCAAACCGTATTCATAAGGCCTCCCCCTCCTCCATGATTCCACATATCAAACATAACCATAGTAATTTCTTCCACTTATTGTTGTTATTATTATTATTATTCCAACAAGGAAAACAAAGAGGATTTACAGCACACACTTGATTATTATCCTGCTCTCATCGAGAACAAACATTGGAACCATCATTACTCATCAGAATTTGTAATAAACCTTATTAAACCATGTCATCGGATGATAAAAAGCAGCTAAGCGAAGAGGTGATGGGAGGGGTGGGGAGTGGCAACAGAGGCAGTCGTTGTAACGAGGAAGGAAAGCTTCTGGCATCCCGGACGAACGACTGACAGTTAGACATTCGCCATCGATTGTTATTAGTTAGCTGGCTGATGTCTAGGAAATATGGCTAAAGTCACACATCGCTACCATTATTATTATCATCATCATCGGCAGCAGTAGAACCAGCCACAACAACAACGATTACAACAACAGTAACAAGTATCTATAAAATTATGAATGAACTATGCCAAGAGCCAACAGTTAAGTCTATTATTAAGTCTGTGGCGGCGGCAATGTCATGACATCCACTTTAATAGACCCGATGATGATGATGAGGACGTCGATGAGGACGATGACGCTATTGGTGATGAGAGTGAGTACTTAATGACACGTCAAGTATGAGCGAGCAATGCATTTAAATTATGAAGGCGTATGAAGGGACGTAGATGACGGTCGCTTGCCAATGGTGTCGCCAATCAAGTGATGGAGAAAATATAACGATTAACGCTCCATCATCATCATCAGCATTCGCCGAGCTCAAGACTCGACAAAAAAATCAATTTAAAATTAAGGGAGACGCCTTTTGCAACATTGCAAATTGATTTATCATATGGAAGTAATGTTACTTTAATGACATCGATGGCTGGCGCTGGATAGTTTATCACCGTAAATGTCAGTATAATAAATTTCGCCATAGTTGGGGGTAATGAGAGCAGCAATTTTAATGGAAAAATTATCGTTTAATTTAATTTTTTTTTGCATGCTAAGGAAGTTGTGTCCAAAAGGGCTGAATGTTGAAAGTTACGCACTATGGGACACAATCGTAGGACGGTTGTCACGAAAAATAAGTTGTACAGAAATGAAAAAAGTTAGAATTTGATATACCTTTATTTTGTGGCTATGGCTGCCAAGTCCTAAGTCCTTGAAAATTATTTTTAAAAAAAATATAGGTTTATAGCTTTGAAGATCCTTGAAAATAATTATTTAAAAATCAAAGCTTATAGCTTTAAAGGTCCTTAAAAAAATTCTTTAAAAAAACGATATTTTTCGCTATCCTTGGAAAACATTCTTTGAAAAATTTAGGTTTTTGACTTTGGAGGTCCATGAGAAAAACTCTTTAAAAACTCCACATTTTTAATTTTGAAGATCCTTGAAGAAAATTCTTTAAAGAAATCCATATTTTTCACTATGGAGGTCCTTGGAAAACATTCTTTGAAAAATATAGGTTTTTTGACTTTGGAGGTCCTTGAGAAAAACTCTTTAAAAACTCCACATTTTAATTTTGAAGATCCTTGAAGAAAATTTGTTAAAAAATCCACATTTTTAAATTTGAAGATCCCTTAAGAAAATTTTTTAAAAAATCCACGTTTTAGGCTTTGGAAATCCTTAAAGAATTGTTTTTTTTTTTTAAATCCACGTTTTAGGCTTTGAAGATCCTTAAAGAATTGTTTTCTTTTTAAATTCACGTTTTAGGCTTTGAAAAAAATTAAAAAAAAAATATTAAAAAAATCCGCGTTTTAGCCTTTGAAAAAAAAAATTAAATAAAAAAAAATATTTAAAAATCCACGTTTTAGGCTTTGAAAAAAATTAAAAAAAAGAATATTTAAAAAAATCCACGTTTTAGCCTTTGAAAAAAAATTAAAAAAAAATATTTAAAAATCCACGTTTTAGGCTTTGAAAAAATTTTAAAAAAATCCACGTTTTAGGCTTTGAAAAAAATTAAAAAAAAATATTTAAAAAATCCACGTTTTAGGCTTTGGAAATCCGTAAAGAAAATTCTTCAAAAAATCCAAGCTAAGGCTTTGAAGATCGTTAAAAAAAAAATTATATAAAAAATTCACGTTTTAGGCTATAAGTATGCTTTGTTGAAGGTCTCTGAAAAATATTCTTTAAGAAATCCACATTTATTTTCATGAAAGTCATTGAAAATATTCTTCAAAAAATCTACAATTATTGATCCTTGAAAAAAATATTTAAAAAAACACGTTTATTAGCATGAAGGTCTTTGAAAAACATTCTCTAAAAAATCCACGTTTGTTGAAGGTCCTTAAAAAATATTCTTTAAAATATTCACGTTTGGAAAAGGTCCTTAAAAATATTCTTTAAAATATCCACGTTTGTTAAAGGTCCTTGAAAAATATTCTTTAAAAAATCCATGTTTGTGAAAGATCCTTAAAAAATATTCTTTCAAATATTCACGTTCGTTAAATGTCTTTGAAAAATATTCTTTCAAATATCCACGTTTGTAAAAGGTCCTTAAAAAATATTCTCTAAAATATCCACTTTTTTTAAATGTCCTTGAAATATATTCTTTCAAATATCCACGTTTGTAAAAGGTCCTTAAAAAATATTCTTTAAAATATCCACGTTTTTTGAAGGTCCTAGAAATATATTTTGTAAAAACGTCCTCGTTTGTAAAAGGTCCTTAAAAAATATTCTTTAAAATGTCCACGTTTTTTGAAGGTCCTAGAAAAATATTTTGTAAAAACGTCCACGTTTGTAAAAGGTCCTTAAAAATATTTTGTAAACACGTCCTCGTTTGTAAAAGGTCCTTAAAAAATATTCTTTAAAATATCCACGTTTTTTGAAGGTCCTATAAAAATATTTTGTAAAAACGTCCACGTTTGTAAAATGTCCTTAAAAAGTATTCTTTAAAATATCCACGTTTGTAAAAGGTCCTTAAAAAGTATTCTTTAAAATATCCACGTTTGTAAAAGGTCCTTAAAAAGTATTCTTTAAAATATCCACGTTTGTTGAAGGTCCTTAAAAAATATTCTTTAATAAATCCACGTTTGTAAAAGGTCCTTAAAAAAATATTCTTTAAAAAATCCACGTTTGTAAAAGGTCCTTAAAAAATATTCTTTAAAAAATACACGTTTGTAAAAGGTCCTTAAAAATATTCTTTAAAAAATCCACGTTTGCAAAGGGTCCTTAAAAAATATTTTCTTAAAAATTCCACGTTTGTCGAGGGTCCTTAAAAATATTCTTTAAAAAATCCACGTTTGTAAAAGGTCCTTGAAAAATATTCTTTAAAAAAACACGTTTGTTGAAGGATATTCTTTAAAAAATCCACGTTTTTTGAAGGTCCTAGAAAAATATTTTGTAAAAACGTCCACGTTTGTTGAAGATCCCTGAAAAATATTCTTTAAAAAATATACTTTTGTTGAAGGTCCTTCAAAAATATTCTTAAAAAAATCCTTATGAATTTATGGTCCTTAAAAAATATTCTTTAAAAAAAATCACGTTTGTGGCTTTGAAGGTCCTTGAAAAATATTCTTTAAAAAATCCACGTTTGTTGAGGGTCCTTGAAAAATGTTATTATAAAAATTCCGTGTTTTCAAGGACCTTGAAAAATATTCTTTAAAAAATCCACGTTTATAATTTTGACGAATCTTTAAAAAAATATTTTAAAGACCCTAAAAGATTTTTTTAAATACCACGACCCTGCCGTTGTTATCTTTAATTAAATTCTCTTTCCCAGTAAATTTAAAATTGCCTTTTAATCACTCTTTGGTAACTAGACACCGACCGTTTTCCGTTTAAAACTTTGTCAATATTTAAATTTAATATGTAATTATTTAACACAACATTATTGTATTAATTTTTGCATGTCCTCGACACTGCCTTTGGCCATAGACAATTTTGCTGTAATTTTGTATTCAATATTGTTTTTTTTTTATTCCATAACATCATTAATAACGACGGTAATTGGATGGAGGAGTTGATGATAATGACGATGGTAAAGTTGTTAAATTGAAAATTGCTTTGTTTTATTCAAATAATTGCCAAGGGATTCAACGTCCAGTGTCTAGGGGTGTGTGGCTGCCTGGCCCAAAGAGATGGCTTGGGTTGGGTTCGTTCGGTGTTTGCGTTTTTCTTTTCATATAAATTGTTTTAAAAATAGTTGACACTTCATTTTTAATGGCCATGGCAGCGTTTTGTCAATTAATTCTGATTAATGACCTGTTTGAGTGTCGTCGTTATTGTGGTGTGCCCTGAATTTATTCTGGAGGAGTGTTGTTGTTGTCGTTTTATTTTTCTATCTTTGTCGTCGGCAACATTATATTCAACATTTTAATTTATGTGCGTTGATAATAAACAATTTTTTGGAATCCAAATAGATTGGTTTAAGGTGTTGTTGACCTGAGGTAAATACCAGGAGAATTTGGTGCGACATGAGGAGGAGGGGTGGAAAAAATGTTATTCAAATTTAATTAAAGCGATATTGAAAGAGGTAAAAGTTGGCAAATATTTGAATCTTTTGGGGAGGATATGAGTTTTCTAAAAACGCTTAAGAAATATTAAAATTAAATTATTGAAATATTGAATCAAATGGTTATTGCCCTCCCTTAAAGCAAGGACCTTCAAAAAGTCTGATATCCATCCAAACGAAATACATTGAGGAGTCCGATAACATCACCCTTCATGAATACCCATCCGAAGTAACTATCCTCCCATACATTTCCCCACAAGTTTCTTCCTTCTTTATCATTACTTCTCGTTTTCTCCCCCCACTTTACTTGCCACATTATTTATTGTCCATTCCCTCCGTTACAATTAATTAGTTCATATTTATATTCTACAATTGTTTCTTATCCTTATTTTCCTGTTTCTTTTTTTTGTTTTTCTTTCAGTCACCATGTCCTCTGCTGCACATAAATGGGACAAATTGTCACCACGGGAATTTTTACAACTTCAAGAATTGGCTTCATGTAAGTAATTGATGGTTTTGAAAAAAAAAAAAAACACAAATTTAAGAAAATTGAAATTTAAAAAGGACAACTTACTAAAGATTTTGTAAGAACTGTTTTTCAATGATTATCTCCGCCTCTATTGTAATTTCTTTGCTATGAAGATCCTTGCAGAAAATTGTTTAAAATTCCACGTTTGTTGCCTTGAATGTCCTTGAAAATGTTCTTAAAAATTCAAAGTTTTTTGAAGGTCCTTGAAAATATTCTTAAAAATTCCACGTTTGTTGCCTTGAAGGACCTTGAAAATATTCTTTAAAAATTTTATGTGTTTTGAAGGTCCTATTCTTTAAATACTCCACGTTTGTGTCTTCGAAGGTCCTTGAAAAATATTCTTTAAAAAGTCCACGTTTGTTGCCTGAAAGATCCTTGAAAAAATTCTTTAAGAAATCCACGTTAGTGACAGATATGGTCCTTGAAAAAATATTCTTTAAAAAGTCCACGTTTGTTGCCTTGAAGATCCTTGAAAATATTCTTTAAAAAGTCCACGTTTGTTGCCTTGAAGGTCCTTGAAAATATTCTTTAAAAAAGTCCACGTTTGTTGCCTTGAAGGTCCTTGAAAATATTCTTTAAAAAGTCCACATTTTTTGCCTGGAAGGTTAATGAAAATATTCTTTAAAAATTCTACTCCACGTTTTTGTCTTCGAAGGTCCTTGAAAAATATTCTTTTAAAAATCCACGTTTGTTGAAGGTCCTTGAAAAATATTTTTTAAAAAGTCCACGTTTGTTGCCTTGGAGGTCCTTGAAAATATTATTTAAAAAGTCCACGTTTGTTGCATTGAAGGTCCTTGAAAATATTCTTTAAAAATTCCACGTTTGTTGCCTTGAAAGTCCTTGAAAATATTCTTTAAAAATTCCACGTTTGTTGCCTTGAAAGTCCTTGAAAATATTCTTTAAAAAGTCCACGTTTGAACGTCCTTGAAAATATTCTTTAAAAAGTCCACGTTTGAACGTCCTTGAAAATATTCTTTAAAAAATCCACGTTTGAACGTCCTTGAAAATATTCTTTAAAAAGTCCACGTTTGAACGCCCTTGAAAATATTCTTTAAAAAGTCCACGTTTGTTGCCTTGAAGGTCCTTGAAAAATATTCTTCTTCAAAGCCGTTAACGCAATTTGTTTGGAGAATATTGGTCAAGGATTCTCAAATATGGGTCTATTTAGAATTTTAAAGGTCTAACGCTACATTTTTGTTAAGGGCAAAGAGGAATTATTGAAGGAATATTGATATTTTTTGGTCATGAAGATCCTTGAAAAAAATTGTTTAAAAAGCCCACGTTTGTTGAAGGTGCTTGAAAAAAATTCTCCAAAAAGTCCACGTTTGTTGCCTTGAAGATCCTTGAAAAATATTATTTAAAAAATCCACGTTTGTTGAAGGTCCTTGAAAAATATTCTTTTAAAAATCCAATTTTGTTGAAGGTCCTTGAAAAATATTCATTAAAAATCCACGTTTGTTGAAGGTCCTTGAAAAATATTCTTTTAAAAATCCACGTTTGTTGAAGGTCCTTGAAAAATATTCTTTAAAAAATCCACGTTTGTTGAAGGTCCTTGAAAAATATTCTTTAAGAAATTCAAGTTTATTGAAGGTTCTTGAAAAATATTCTTTAAAACCCCACGTTTGTTGAACGTTCTTGAAAAATATTCTTTAAAAAATCCACGTTAATGACAGATATGGTCCTTGAAAAATATTCTTTAAAAAATCCACGTTTGTTGAACGTTCTTGAAAAATATTCTTTAAAAAATCTACGTCCTGGAAAAATATTCCTTAAAAAATTCACGTTTATTGAAGGTTCTTGAAAAAAATTCTTTAAAAAATCCACCTTTGTTGAAGGTCCTTAAAAATTATTCTGTAAATAATCGAATTTTGTTGAAGGTCCTTGAAAAATATTCTTTAAAAATCCACGTCTGTTGAAGGTCCTTAAAAAATATTCTTTAAAAAATCCACTTTTGTTGAAATTTCTTGAAAAATATTATTTAAAAATCCACGTTTGTTGAAGTTCCTTGGAAAATATTCTCTAAAAAGTCATATAACGTTGATTCTAAGACCAATAACGTTGATATTTTTCAAGTTCCTTCATGGCCATGAACGTGAATTTTTAAATAAAATTTTTCATGGACATTCAAAAATATTCCTCAAGTGGCTTAAGGTTCTAATATTATTATTATTTACCATTTTTTCATAGAAATTTTTGGTTGACATTTTGAAGAAAAATTTTGAGAATCTATAAAAAATTTTTTTTTTGAGTTGATTTCTTAATTTTTTTAAAGATCTCCAAAGCCCTGAACTCGGATTTTCAGAGAAAAATTTTTATCATAGATTTTTTAAAGAATTGTTTTCAAGAACACTCATATCTCAGTTTTCAAACATTTTAATGACACTAGGACTTAAGAAGGGCTAATATGTATTTTTAACAAAACTTTTTGGAGAACTAACGTAGATTAATTACGAGGTAATAATGTATAATTTTTAAGAAGGACTTGCGTAGTTTTTTCTACAAATTTTTTAAGGATTAACTTGCATTTTTTATGGATTTTTATCAAGGACATACATCGATTTATATTAACATTTTTCAAGGATCACAATAGTAGACTATTTACATAAATCTTTTCAAGGGCACAACGTCCTTTACATTATTTCTGCTTCATATTTTTTCAAGGACTTACGCGGATTTAAAAAAAATTCAAGTCGATCAAGTCATAGATTTTTTCTTAAGTTGTATCAAGAACTGGATTTATGTCAAAGAACTACCATCGATGTTTTCTTCCTTAAGGACTACCAAAGCTGCAAACATGGATTTTTCGAAGAATATTTTTAAGACTATTAAAGGCATTAACTTGGAGTTTCTAAATAATATTTTGAAATTCTGTCAAGGCATTACACGGAAGCGTTAAAGCGTTTTTTCTTCACCTACTTTATTTATGGTATCATCATTATTTATGTTTCCAGTCTCTTTTTGTGGTTTATATTTTTACACATTTTTCAACAATCACAAATTGACACCGTGTTAACATTTGTCATAACTCAATTTAAAAGTTAAATTTCGTTTCACCACCAAACTTCAACTTGTATTTTTTATTTGCACCACACAATTGTATGCTCCCGCACATTTCCACATTTCATTTATGTTACACAGCTCCGTTTGCAATTTGACCAACATTCAAATAATTTCCACTTCAACTCAATAAACTTAAGTTAATAAACAATAGTTGAGGGGGAGTGGAAAATAAAAAAAAACAGAGTTCGCTCACAAAATAAAATAAAAATAATTTTTCGCCACACAAATGCGGAGCTTATGTCAAGAGTTTTAATTCACATTTGTTTTAATTGCTTAACGCAAAAGCTTTTCTGGTACTCTACACAAAGGGATGTTGGTCATATGAATTACGTTAAAATACCTTAAAAAAATGCATGTTTGTAGTCCTGATGGTCTTTAAAGAAATACCTCTAAAACACAAACAAGCAAACCAGATGACCCTTAAAAAATATTCATTCAAATTTACAGACGATCCTTTATACAACATATTATCCTGATGGACCCTAGAAATATCTTTTAGGAAATCCGCATAAGTAATCCTCATTATCGTTGGAATAAAACCTTGCATTTAATTATTAACAATTTTCTTAAAAAATCGAAAAATCAATTCCTGATGGTCCTAGAAAAAATCCTTGAAAATGCCATGTACTTAGACCTGATTGTCATTACAATTTTAAAAATCAATAGAAAAGTCCTGGAGGTCCTTAATTTTTTTTCTGAAACAATGCACACATGTTGTACTTGAAAGATATTCTTTAAACAATATTGATCCTTAAAAAGATATATTTTACAAATTTATGATTTATTCAATTAAAAAAAAAATAAAAAAATCCACGATTGTGGATCAATTAAAAAATATATTTTTTAAGATTATTGTTGATATTAAAAAAAATAAAAAACACAGTTCTTGATCCTTCATATATATAAAAAAATAATATTTTTGGTCCTTGAAAAAATATAAGTTTGTTGCTCCTTCTATTTTTTTTAATTATAATCCCTGAAAAAATTTTTTTAATCCCCCATTGTTGACTTTTATTTTTCAAAATATTGTGGTTTCTTGGAGAAATATTCTTCCAAAAGTTAAAAAATTCTTCGACTGGAACTTTTTGTCCTTGATAAAATTATCTTAAAACATCCAGGATTTGCTCCTTCAAAAATAGTCTTTAAAACTGAACGATTCTTGGTCTCTTGGTCCTTTAAAAATAGTATTTAAATCCATGATTATTTCTGTTGGTCCTGGAAAAAGTTTTCTATAAAAATCATGTTCCTAGAATAAATATTCTTTAAAAATCAAGGTGTGTTACTCTGTTGGTCCTTAAAAAATAGTCATCAAATATCCAGGACTATAGATCGGTTGCTGTTTGAAAAAATATTTTTTAAAGCAACGACTATTATTGGCTCCTTGAAAAATATTCTTACAAAATCCTTTAAAATTAAGTCTTTAAAAATCCAGGATTATTGGCATCTTGATTCTTTTAAGAAAATACTTGATAACTCAGGATTATAAAATTCGTGATCATTACTTTGATGGTCCTTGAAAAATGATCTTTAAGAAACAAGGATAAGATAATTGAAACATATTCTTTAAAAAACCAGGACTAGTAGTCTGTAGGTCCTTGAAAAATATTCTTTAAAAAGTCCACGATTATTGGTCGCTTTGTCCTTGAAAAATATTCTTACAAAATCCTTCAAAATAATGTCCTCGAAAAATATTCTTACAAAATCCTTCAAAACACTGTTCTTGAAAAAATATTAATTTAAAAAAGGGGATTATTGACCGTTTGTACATTCAAAACAAGTCTCTAAAAATCCATGATTAAAGCTCCTTGAAAAATAAAATTTAAAAGTCTACGATTTTTGATCTGTTGGTCCTTGGAAAAATGTTCTTAAAAATCCACGATTATTCGTCTGAAAAAAAATATTGAAAAATTTTTTTTTTTTTTTTTTAATTCAGCATCATTGATCATTTTTTCCTTCAAAAATAGTCTTTAAAATCCATGATTATTGCTCTCTTGGTCCTTAAAAAATATTCTTTAAAATACATGATTAATGGACTGTCGATCCTTAAAAAAATATGCTTTTAAATTCCACGACTAATGGTTTGTTTGATCTTTAAAAAATACTCCTAAATATTTCATGAATATTGATCTGTTGATCCTTGCAAAAAAATATTCTTTAAAAAATCGGTATTATTGGTCGTTCTTCAAAAACATTCTTTAAAAATTTTATGATGATTGCTCTCTTGTTCCTTGGAAAATATTCCTAAAAAATCCACTATTATTGGTTTGTTAATCCTCGAAGAAAAATTCTTTAAAAATCCGGGATTACTAGTCCGTTGGTCCTTGAAAAAATATTCTTTTAAGCATCGACGATTATTGTCCTTTTTGCTCCTTGAGAAGTAGTAAAATCCACGAATATTTGTTTCTTGGTCCTGGAAAAAATATTCTATAAAAATCCAGGATTATTAGCATGCCGATCCTTGAACAAAATTATTTATTTAAAAATTTAGGATTATTGCTCACTTGGTCTTTAAAATCCATGTTTAATGGTCAGTTGGTCCTTGCAAAAATAGTCTTTAAAGATCAACGATTATTGTTCCATTGGTCCTTGGCAAATTTTCTTTTAAAAAACAGTATTATTGTTCTCTTAATCCTTAAGAAATATTCTTCAAAAATTTCATGATTATCTTTTGGTCCTTGAAAAATATTCCTTAAAATATCCACAATTATTGTTGAGTCAACCCTTAAAAAATATTCCGGGATTAAAGGTCTATTGGTTCTTGAAAAAAATATCCTTTTAAGCATCAACGATTATTGTCCTGGTTGGAACTTCAAAAATAGTAAAATCCACGAATGTTTGTTTCTTGGTCCCGGAAAAAATATTTTATAAAATCCAGGATTATTGCCATGTTGATAATCATACCATCCACATACTATTAACTTTGTCATTCCGTTTGTAACTCCTCGAAATACTCATATCAGACCCAACAAAGTATATATATTCTTGATCAGCGTAAAATTCTAAGTCGATTTAGCGATGTCCGTCTGTCTGTCTGTCTGTCTGTCTGTCTGTCTGTCTGTCCGTCTGTCTGTCTGTCTGTATGTCTGTCTGTCCGTCTGTCTGTCCGTCTGTCTGTCTGTCTGTCCGTCTGTCTGTCTGTCTGTCTGTCTGTCCGTCTGTCTGTTGTAATCACGCTATCTTTCGAATGAATTGAGATAGGTGGCTAAAATTTTGCACACATGTTTATTTTTCCAGTAGGCAGGTTAAGTTCGTAAATTTTCATATAGCCCCCATATAACGGTACCTCCCTATATTCGGTATTTTGATGATTTTAGCGACATTATTCACCGGAATTGTTTCAAATTTGGTATTTGAAGTTCAAAATGGATACTACACCCTAAGGCGGAAAATTATCCGTGCAGGTCCACGTCTTCGTATAGCCCCCATATAACGGTACCTCCCTATATTCGGTATTTTGATGATTTTAGCGACATTATTCACCGGAATTGTTTTAAAATTGGTATTTGAAGTTCGTTATGGGAACTACAGTCTGTGACAGAAAATTGTCTGTGTGGGTCCAGGTCTTCGTATAGCCCCCATATAACGGTACCTCCCTATATTCGGTATTTTGATGATTTTAGCTACATTGTTCACCATTTATTTCAAGTTTCGAATTTGAATATGGTAATGGCTTATGACCAACAATGCCTATGTATGTCCACGTCGTATAGACCCCAAAATAACGGCTATATTCGGTATTTTTAAAATTTTAACAGAATTTTTTAAGGATTTTATTTTTTGAAAATTTCCAAATTCGTTGCAAATGGTGGAGGGTATTAAAAGTTCGGCCCGGCCGAACTTACTGCTTTTTAACTTGTTTTAATTCAGGATTATTGCTCTCTCGGTCATTGAAATATATTCTTTAAAATTCATGATAAATGGTCTGTCGGTCCTTAAAAAATAGTTTTTTAAAAACGAACGATTATGGTTCGGTTGGTCCTTGAAAAATATTCTCTAAAAAAACTGGTTTATTGGTCGTTTATTCCATCAAAATTATCTTTAAAAGTTCATGATTATTACTCTGTTGGTCTTTGAAAAATAGTCCTTAAAAATCAAGGATTATTGGCCTGTTGGTCCTTAGGAATTATTCCTACAAAATATCACAAAATAATGTATTTAAAAATACAGGATTATTTGTCGGCTGGTCCATATTGCTCGGCTGGTCCTTGAAAAAATAATCTTTAAAAATCCACCATTATTAATCTATTGATCCTTGAAAAAATATTCTTTAAAAATCCAGGACTATTTGTCCGTTGGTATTTCTTAAAATTCATTCTTAAAAAATTAAGATTATTGGTCTTTTGGTCCCTGGAAATTATTGTAACACAATCCTTCAAAATAAAGTCTTTAAAAATCCAGGATTACTGGTCGGTTGGTCCTTGAAAAAACAAATACTTAAAAATCTACCATTGTTGTTGATCCTTGAAAGAATATTCTTTAAAATCCAGGACCTTTTTTTGGTACTTAAAAATCATTCTTAACAAATTTACGGTTTTTGGTCTTTTGGTCCTTGGAAATTATTCTTACAAAATCCTTCAAAATAATGTCTTTAAAAATCGAGGATTATTGGTCGGTTGGTCCTTGAAAAAATAATCTTAAAAATTCCACGATTTTTTAAAAAATATTCTTTTAACTTTCACGACTATTGGCCTGTTATTCCTTGAAAAAAAATCTCCTATTATTAGTCTGTTGGTACTTAGAAATTACAAATTACAAAATCCTTCAAAAAAAAAGTCTTTAAAAATCCAAAATTATCTTTAAGAATCCATTATTATTAATCTGTTGATCCTTCAAAGAATATTCTTTAAAATCCAGGACCATTTGTCTGTTGGTACTTGAAATTCATTCTTAAAAAATTACGATTATTAGTCTTTTGGTCCTTGGAAATTATTCTTACCAAATCCTTCAAAATAAAGTCTTTAAAGTCGGTTGGTCCTTGAAAAAATAATCTTAAAATTTCCACGATTTTTTGAAAAAATTCTCTTTAAAATTCCAGGACTATTGGTCTGTTGTTCCTTGAAAAACAACCTTTAAAAATTCCCCGAAAATCTGTTGGTCCTTGGAAAATATTTTTACAAAATCCTTCAAAATAAAGTCTTTAACAATCCAGGATTATTAGTCGCTTGGTCCTTGAAAAAAATTATCTTTAAAATTCCACCATTTTTGACCTGTTGATCCTTGAAAAAATATTCTTTAAATATCCAGGACTATTGGTCTGTTGGTTCTAGAAAAACAATCTTTAAAAAATCCCCGGTTATTGGCATTGATCCTTGAAAAAATAATCTTCAAAAATCCACCATTATTAACCTGTTGATCCTTGAAACAATATTATTTAGAAATCCAGGACTATTTGTCTGTTGCTGCTTGAAAATCATTCTTAAAAAATCCACGTTTATTGGTCTTTTGGTCCTTGGAAAATATTCTTACAAATTCCTTCAAAAATAGTCCTTAAAACCTAGGATTATTGTTCGGTTGGTCTTTGAAAAAATGTTCTTTAAAATTCCACGATTTCTGACCTGTTGATCCTTGAAAAAATATTCTTAAAAACTCCAGGATTATTAGTCTGTTGGTCCTTGAAAAACAATCTTTAAAAAATCCCCGATTAATGGCATTGATCCTGAAATTGAATTGAAAATAATCTTTAAAAATCTACCATTATTAATCTGTTGATCCTTGAACAAATATTATTTAGAAATCCAGGACTATCCACGTTTATTGGTCTTTTGGTCCTTGGAAAATATTCTTACAAATTCCTTCAAAAATAGTCTTTAAAAATCCAGGATTCATAGTCGTTTGTTTTCTCAGAAAAAAATCTTTAAAAAATCTGTTTATCCTTACAACGATTTTTAATCAGTTGGTCCTTGGAAAAATATTTTTAAAGTATCCAGAATTTTTTGCTAGTTGGTCATAGATTTTGTTTTCATTGAAAATTGTTGGTCGTTTGGCCCTTCAAAAATAGTCTTTAATTATTCACAATTATTGGTTTATTGGTCTTCAAAAATGGTCTTAAAAAAATCAAGGATTTTTGGTGGATTGGTCCTTTAAAAGTGTTCTTAAAAGTCAAGGATTATTTGTGGATTGGTCCTTCAAAAATGGTCTTAAAAATCAAGGATTATTGGTCGGTTGGTCCTTAAAAAGGATTTCTTAAAAATCCCTCATAATTTCCATCCGATAATCCTTGAAAAATGTTTTCCCTAAAACATCCTAATTTTCCGATTTTTATTTTCGATTTCCATTCCAGAAATGAAATTCTGCACAAATTGTAAGGCTTCCCTTATTCGTTAAAGCCATCCTTTTAACTGACCTCCCTTACATTACATTTCAGTGTTGTGTAAATTTCACACAAGCAAAGCTTCGATTGCAAACAGAGCATTTAAAAAATATAAACTTTTCTCGCGCTGTTGATGTTATTGCCGTGAGTTGGCGCCAAACAGAGGCATTTTCCACTTTGACTGCACTAACAAAGCGTGAGGAAAAAACAACAAAATTAGTGTACTGAGTTCTGCAACTGAACTCGAAAAAAAAACAAAAGTCTATAAAACTTTTTCAATTTGTTTAATTGTTAATTAAATACGCGTTTCAAATCCTCCTTCTTTGCAACGGATCCTTGCTTTTTCTGCCGTCTACTATTTCTCCTTTGACCTACACCAACACACACATCCACGGCCACTCACTCACACCCACGTTTCTCAACTGTTAAATGACCATTATTTATTTTACAGCATTGTTTTGTGAAATTGTTCTAATATTTCTACATCCCTTTTGTTTTCTATTTCCATTTTTTTCCATGGGTTTCCGGTGCCGCACAATTACCTGCTTCCGCCGCTGTTGTTCTCGTTGTTGTCCGCCGCAGATTCAACACGTAAACTACAGGATGTGTTACAAGAGTTCTGTTCGCCGCTTGCCTCACCTAAATTTAATCCGGATGGTGTAAGTATCAATTGAAATCGAAATGTTTAGTCATACAAACCTACATATGGACCTACCTACTACTACCAACAAATGTGTTGGCATAGAAAAGCTTTGAACCAATAAAAATATTATTTTCTATTTATTTGTTGTCTAGTTTATAACTGTTAATACTAAACGGGCTATTGAATTGTGTGTTAACAGAAAACATGAAATAGACGAAAAAAACCTTGCAACATTTTTTTGCAATTGATTTATTTTCATTGACCGAAGTGCTGCTGTTCCGATTTGCGATTTAAGTCAAACAGCTGTTGAACATGAATTATGTTTTTTCGCTATAAGGTTGATTTATGTTCGAATAAAAGTGGAGGGGGTGGTTATGGAAACATAAGTTATGTGAAACTCATTGAGTTCAATTTCCTGTTGAAAACTAGTTGGCGTGGAACATAAATAGCGGAAATAATATGGTTAAATAACACCTCAATTTTATATTGGTTATTTTATTCTCTGGTACAGTGAGCGTATAATTGATGATGTACATCATACGCTCCATTGACCAGAAAAGTTAAAATTACAATTTTTTATACTATGGGAAAGGAAATATATTGCCTGAGAATAGACGTAGAACATATATAACAGAATTAGGTGCGACTATGAAATATGCTAAAAAAGGGGTGAACTGCCCACACGCCACCTAACTTGTGAGTTAGAGAAAACTTAATTTCCAGTGGTCTGATTTACTCTATTTTTATACCCTCCACCATACACAGTATGGAGGTTATATTAAGTTCGTCATTCTGTTTGTAACTCATCGAAATAATAATTTTAGACCCGACAAAGTAAATATATTCTTGATCAGAGTAAGATTTTAAGACGACTTAATCCTTTCAGTCCGTCCGTCCGTCCGTCCTTCTGTTGTAATCACGCTAGAATCAAAACGAATAAAGATAGGAAACCAACATTTTGCAACTACCTATCTTTTGTCTGCAGTCAGGTCAAGTTCGAAGATGGGCTATATCGATCCACGATATCGTATAGCCCCTATATGACGGTACCTCCCGATATTCGGTATTTTGATGATTTTAGAAACATTTGTTAAATAAGGAGTTCTACGTGACTACTTTACCCCCTGAAAGGTCTATATAGGTCCACGATATCGTATAGCCCTCATACAATGTTGAAAAACAACACCCCCCCCCCCCTAACCATATTAGGTACTTTGACGATTTTAGCCACATTTTTCAAGGATGGAATAGTCTGAAAATCCACACAAAGAGTTTCCTCTGAGTAACTTACCCCCTGGAAGAGAATTGTCTATATAGGTCTACGTTTTAGTATAGCACCCATAGAACGCTACCCCGAGATATTCGGTATTTCCAGGATTTTTGGGACATTATTCAGCGGAATTGCGTCAAATTTGGTATTTGAAGCTGGTAATGGGTACTACAATCTATGACGGAAAAATGTCTATGCAGGTCCACGTCTTAGTATAGCTCCCATGCAACGGGATCTCTCTTTATTTGGTATTTTGATGATGTTAGCGACATTATTCGCCGGAATTGTTTCGAATTTCGTATTCGAAGTTCGGAATCGTTACAACAGCCTATGACAAAAAATTAATTATCCATGTCTTCATATAGCCCCGATATAAAGGCTTTCATTGAGCGGTATTTTTCGACGGATTTTTTTTTTTTTCTTGAAATTTTTCAAGTTCCTCGCGAATGGTGGAGGGTATAAAAAAATTCTCCCCGAGCGAACTTAGCTGTTTTTTACTTGCACCCAGAGGTGCAGAGAGTGGGTATATATAATTTGATACGGCCAAAACGTGCCTTATCGAGATAACGGTTTTAGACCCTAGGTCTCTCTGGACCCATTTGGAGGTCCGATCTAGCGATGTCCGTCGGTCTGTTTGGCTGGTGCGCACGATAACTCTCGAATATAGCATCCGATTTGATCCAAACTTTATACATCGTAATATTATTATCAAACTTAGATCGAGTTCGGAGATGGGCTATATCGGTTCACTCCTTCTGAAAAAAAAAATATTTTACTGCACAGAAAGAGAAAGGATTATCCAATTTTGCTCCAACTCAGCAAATCCTAATATTTACATCAGTGCTAGGGCAGCTGTCAAAATGGACAATATCGGTCCACTCCATCAAAAACCTCCTACACAATGGGTCCAAATTTGGAACAATTACAACTCTTATAAAATGTGATGTATGAGCACGATTGTCTCCAAATTAAACACATCACAATATTTCTATTAACCCAAGGTCTGGTGTGAGGATGGAATATATCGGTACGTATTCTTCCACAAAGCGTCAAAATTTTGAATATCCACGTAGCTCATAAAACGCGAAGTTAATATCCGATTCTATTCAGAGTTGGCACATCCCAATATTTCCATGAGCAACACATCTTTTAAAAATATGGTATCGATCGCATCATATCTTCAGGTACCTCCCCCCAAAGGGACTAAAATTTTGAATATCCAAAACGATCATAATATCTTCATATTTCACACATTCCATTATTTCTACTAACACAATATCTGCTGTGGAGATGGGATATATCGGTCCACTCCTTTTGGTTCCTCGTCCACAAGGGGCCAAAATTTCAAATATTAATGAAGCTCATAATACGCTAAATTAACATCCGATTCCATTCAGACATATCACATGTCAATATTTTCATCAAAATAAGATCTCTTATAAAGATGTTAAAGATCATGCCATTCCTTCTGATACTTGCCCCACAAAGGTTTAAAGTTTTGAGTTATCAAAGCGATCCAAAAATCCGATATAAACATCCGGTTGTCTTCACATATCACACATCCTATTATTTATACTACCACAAGATATATTGTGGAGATGGGCTGAATCGGTCCACTCCTTTTGGTACCTTCCTTCCCACCATAAAGGGTTGAAAATGTTGAATATCCTTGAAGCTTCTAAAACGCGAAATTAACATCCGATTTCATTCAGACTTGGCACATCTCAATATTTCCATCAACACCAGATCTCTTATAAAGAAGGCAGAGATTGGAAAATTTCTTGTGGTACCTCAAAGTGTCAAAATTTTAAATTTCCAAAACGGTCATAAAATTCGAAATAAGCATCCGGTTCTCTTCATGTTTCACACATCCCATTATTTCTACTAACACAAGATCTGCTGTGAAGGTGAGATATATCGGTCCACTTCTTCTGAAACCTTCCTCACAAGTGTCAAAATTTTTAATATCTTTTAAGCTCACAAAACGCGAAATCTGACTTCATCCAGACTTGGCATTTCTCAATATTTCTATACGAACACAACCTGTTATAAAGATTGGAGAAATTGGACTATTCCTTCCGATACCTCCCCCGCAAAGGATCAAAATGTTGACTATCCATAATGATCATACGAAATACGCATTCGGTTCTCTTCATATTTCACACATCCCATTATTTCTACTAACACAAGATGGTACCACCTCCACAAGGGTTCAAAATTTTAAATGTTCTTGAAGCTCATATAACGTTAAATTAACATCCGATTCTATTCAGACTTGGCACATCGCAATATTTCTATCAGAATAAGATTCGTTATAAAGATGTTAGGGATCGGATCATTTCTTATGGTACCTCTCCCACAAATTTTTAAATATTCAAAACGATCATAAAATCCGAAATAAGTATCCGGTTCTCTTCATATTTAACACATCCCATTATTTCTACTAGCTCAAGATGTTCTTTGAAGATGGAATATATCGGTCCACTCCTTCTGGTACCTCCTCCACAAAGGGTCAACATATTGAATATCCCCATATAACACAAGCTCTGTTGTGTTGAAGATGATATGTATCTGCGAACCCCTTCTGGTACCTCACCTACAATGGGTCACAATTTTCAATTCTTTTATCTGGCATATCTTGCGAGGTCAGCGATTCTTTACAACTTGCTTTATCAAAGCATTTCTCTCGACAAGAAATCTAATGTGAATATGGAATTTGAGGTTCCGCAATAGAATGGAATATAAATGTTCGATTTACTTGTAATCTTGTCCATGCCAATATTTTTACCTGTAATAGGTGAAGCATGAAAATGGAATTCTCCGGTCGACTATATCGGATACCTCATGTACTTTTTAACATTTTCTAGAAATTCACACACCTCATATAAAGAGAAGGAAGTAGTCGATATTGTCCAAGTCTGGCACGTCGCAATATTTATATCTTATATATTTAGGTCCGATACGAAATGAACAATATTGGTACATTCCTTCGGAACCTACTCAAGAGGAGGTCAACAATTTGAATAATCATAACAGAGGTCAACATATATTTAAATAATCGAACATTGGCTGAGGATATACAGCTGTCGGCAAAATCGACCTATACTTTTTAACCTGCTTTATTCATTTTTTTCCTAATACCCTTTTTCTCTCCTGCCCAAAAACCCACAGAATAATAAACCCGCGAAAATCTAAACATATTGACATTGATGTTCGATGCTCTCACAATGGAAAATGGAGGAGGAAGGACCACAAAATTTCCAATCCAATATCTGACAAAGGGAAATCCAATGATTGCAATGACAACAATACAATCATCAATACAATTTCCATTGCGTCCCTTTGTAGTTCATATTTCATTAAAAGAGGAAAAAGAAAACGGAACGGAGATAAATGAAAATTGAAAGCTGATATCGGTTTTCTTTGCCTTACGCCCGCATGTATTTCAACAGAACAGAAATAGTACAATGCAATACATAATGACATATTATTCCGCTTGTAAGCCTATACAATAATTTTCATTTCTTTGAGATTTAATCAGATTGCTTGTGATTTTAAAGGATATCTTGCCTTTATTCTTCTAATCCTATTAGTAAGGCTTAAATTTTATAGTTGGCTGAGCTTTGACTTTGGAGGTAAATATAAGAGTCACAGAATGAAAAATATATACTCATGTATACACATATTTATATATAACTAAAAAATTGATGCATAATTCCTTAAATTGAATAGAATTTAAAAATATT